CATGGGCTCCCGGGGAAGTGCCCTCTGGGCATTTTATCACGAGTCCCTGTGACCCTGGGCCATGCACAGTCTTCCTCTTTGGCATTTTCCTTTCTGCAAAGTGGCATGTGCCCTTTGGCCATTGAAGTTGGAGACACACAGGAAAACGTTCTAAGTCCTAACTCCCCTCATCAAAGAAGGCAGGGAAGTTTCCTGCGGAAAACAGCTGAGCAAAGTTGTGGTCACCTGACGAGCTAAACCAAGTGAAATCACTTTGCTGTATTGAGTCTTAAAACGAAGGAGGTGAGTTCTTTTGGGGATGACTCCCAATCCACTCAGGTCCCTCTGGGCTCAGGAAGGACTCCCCAAGTCAAGGTAACAACATGACTGCTCAGTTCTACATTCTGAGGTAACACACGCGAGTCCCTGGTACTTCCTTCAAAAGCTAACCCCTTCATGGGCATGCATGAGCTGTAACACCTCACTTACTTGATCCCCAGACACAGCAGACGCACCTCTCTCCAAATGGTTACCATGATTGGCAGGGGCAGAACAGGGAGGCAAGGGGTGGAGTCAGGAGACTGCAGGTGTGGTAGCTTTGCCCCGCAGCCCTCTCCCCAGCCCTCACCACTGCTCCCCCCCCCCCCAACCCTGGGCCCTGTGGCTGGGGAAAGGGGATTCAGATCTAAATGGAGTAGATGCATGATTCAGCTCTGCCTCAACACTAACAAAAGTGCCATCAAACTACGGTGCCTCTTTCCAAAAGGTAATATTTCAAATGGCAGTTCGGGGAGGGAATCCTCTGAGCCTTCAGCAAAATCTGCTAAGACAGCAAAGGTAAGGCAGCATTCTGGATCTAAGCCCAAATGTTTACATCACAGCGTTAAGTAACATTTTTTGTGATACCGGAAAATCCCAGTCTTTCCTTCCTTCCCTAAGCTCTCCACAATACTTGCAATTATGGAAAGGTACAGATGCCCCTCGCGATCACCTCCTAGAAAGAGGTGTGGATCCATTAGAGAGGCAGGGAAAGACACCCATCAGCTGCCCCCTAAGAGGCAAGTCTGCGGGCATCTCAACTTCGAGGCAACTCTGATTGCAGCCAGGTGGAACGAACAGCAGGAGAAGCCGTTTTCCATATGGGTCTCAAGACTTGGAGGCAATGTGCTCTCTCAGCTGCCAAGGAAGAGGTTGTCTGGATGAGGAGAAAAGCCTGGCTGGCACGCTAAGAATGCAAGATTGAACAGGAAGAACTGATTGAGGACTGACGGGCAGAGAAAGCCTCTTCCCCGATCACTGCACAGGGGACATTATCGTCCCTTCTGTGCCTGGACACCGCCCTGCCTCCAGGCTGGCAGTATTCTCCCACTCTCCCCACCACCCCCCCAGTGCAAAGCCTCCTCACCCTTCAAGGCCCACCTCAAACCTCACCTCCTCCACAAAGCCACATTTCTTCTCCAACTTGCACCTAATTCCATGTTGCTGTTTTAGGTTTTTATCACCTCTCCCAGACCGTGAGCTCCTGACAGGCAGAGGCCGGGACTTAGATCCTTAATCCCCTCCCAGCCATTGGCACAGAGCTAGATGCTCAACAGGGGATAGGACACGGAACAGGTGGCCAGATTAACAAGGAAGGGTGGCATGAAGGCAAGAAAACATTTTCTACAGCAGCTCATGTGAGACCACGGGAGTCAAGTCCTCTCCCCGCTTCCTCTTCCACCTCCTAGAACAGATGATTCTGTGCTGCGGCAGCAAAATCGGGAGTGTGGGTGGCACACCCTGTCGCTCTGATTTCCCAGCGAGGCTGCAAGCAAGTAAGGCGGGTGAATCTGAGGTGGCAGAGATGCGCGGGACCTGTGCCTGAAGCGCTATCTAGAGCTAACCACATCAGACCCAGACTTGTAGCTTCTCCTTGACGTTCTCCAAGAAGAGAGGTCCACGCCCTCCGCAGAGCGCTTGTTCTGATAGCAAACTCCTCGCTGTTAGAAAGTTCTTAGCAAAAACACGTGGCTCCTTACATACAGAGACAGATCCCCCCAGTCCCACCTGCCCTAGAATAGCTCATTTTCACACGCTTCCCTGGTTCCGTCTCCCCGGGCTTGGCAAGGTCCCAAACGTTCACGCCTCCCAGACAAGCTCACCATCAGTAGCACCGTCATGTTATAGACAAAGATGAGCACCTGGGCTTCTGGGCTCACCTGGAGGGCTCTGTGCTGCACAGCACAGGTGTGGCCGTGAGGACCCATGATCCCTAAGTTTCTTGTACAAGGACCCTCAACAGTTTAACAGGGGACAACTCAGCTCCAGTTTTGACAGACTTTAGATAATTCTTGGACTGACCTTTTCAATTCCTTAAAGGACTTTGCAACGATCTTTTGAGGTGACCAGACGCTTCAGGGTTTCACAAAGACAAAGCTAAATATTTCTGGTACAGGCCTGTTTTACCCAGATAATTGCACCCATGAGCATGTAGCTTCTTACTCATCTAAATGAGTGATAAACATGTTATTAAATGCTTAAGTGCCCAGCACTGTGTGGAGGACTTTAGAGGCATTATGTCATTCATTACACACGCCTATGATGTAACTACTTAGTGATCCGGGAACGCAGGCTCAGAGATTAATTTCCTCGCTTGATGTTACCTAGCCGAGGAGAATGGGAGCAGACCATGGAAGCCAGGCCTGACTCCACCAAGGCCAAGGCTTCAACCACCAGCCTCCTCTGGCTACGGCCCAGGGTTCAATTCTACAATCTGGACTTCTATTTACAAGCTGGAGCAGGCAGGGTGCAGTTTTACGCCAAGCCTCAGGTCTGGGCCCAGCCCCCAGCGGGCAGGCATAGAACCCTACTCTACTCTTCACTCCTGTTGAACCAGTTTGGATGGCAACACTCTAACGTGAGCAGGAAGATGCTTGGCAATCACCACATAGCCGGGCAGAGGAAGGGTGTGTCTAATCTTCACTCAACCACAGCAGATGGCGACCCTGAGCAGCTCACTTCTTTCTGCGAGCCTCCTCAGCAAAAGTGCCTTTTAAATCATGACGCACCTGGGTCTATATATAAAGCTCAAGTAAGGTCAGACTGTAATATCCTTTCTACCACAAATTGCCATTTTCCATCCCTGGTTATTTCATTAAATAAACAAGATGCTGCTCATGCCCCGTCACACTGATTTCCTGAGCCACTAGTGGGCTGTGAAGCAGTTCCTAGAAACACTGAGGGCAGCAGACTAAAGACTTTTGGGGAGTCCAATGGAGCAGGAGTGGGGCCTGGCTGCCTGGGGAGCCCGCTTTGAAAAGCCATGGCCGGGCAGCTCCTTCAGGTCCTTGCCACGTTCCTAAGTTGTAGGAACCATGTGCTTGGAGTAGCCATTGTATGTGGATCCAACCGGCTAGACTACAGTTCCTTGAACTCAAGACTGAACTACTATGCCCGTGGCCTGAGCCCCATTCTCTCAATCAAAAGACTGATGCTGGGCACTGCAGGGCAGACACAGCCCGCACCTGAGAAGGGCAAGCAGGGCTCACCTCATCGATCATGGAGTTGCCAGCAGTTGGCGCTCAGCCCCTGGGGCTGAAAAAGGAGATGGAACCCCAGGGTCCTCCCAGTCTTTCTTCTAAGCAGAAGAGATGTGGGTCAAAGAAAATACTAACAGGCTTCTGCCCTGGCCAGAGTAGACCCTTCTGAACAATGCTCGAACCTGCTGGGTTTGGAAAAGCTGCCTGGAGGTTGCAGATTAGTGACAGTTCCTTGTACTTTCCGGGTCAAATGCAAACTCCTAATTTCACCACTAATTTGATTCCTGGGTCTAACTTTTGGGAACTGCTCACGGTCAAGTTGCTTCTTGGTATACAACACTGCTGCATACGAAGTGGTCCCTTAACTGTAGTGGCCAAGGGCTGGCTGGAGACGGCAGGGAGGAGGGGAGGCCTGGAGACATGTCCTCCTCCCATTTCTGGCTTCCTCTGTCTCCCTCCACCGCCGGGCACATATGGAACTTCTTTGGACAGGGGGTCCCTGTGGAAACCACCACAGGCTCTGGGATGCTACACTGGTAGCGTCCCTGCCCAGCTCAGCTCCAAGTCACGGCAGGAGATATCTGGCCTCTGTGACACTGGGACGCAGTATGACCCCATGAAAGCTAGCTGGCCACCATCCACACCCCACTCCTACTTCAGGCAAGCATCTAGGAAGGATCCAGTCTTGACAGAGCTTCGAGAGACACTAGGAGGCTCACTTATTCACAATGCAAATTAGATCTTGATAGTGTTTTTTTAAATTGAAAATTATACCCCCCATCATAGATTTGATTCTATTTTAAAAGGTAAAGGCGTCCATTGACAAATGGATGGACAAAATACGTCCTATACATACAGTGGAGTGCTATTCAGCCATAAAAAGGGAGGAAATTCTGACACATCTACCGAGGTGAACCTTAAAGACATTAGACTAAGTAGATGAGCCAGTCAACCCCCGCTGTAGGACTCCACTTATATGAAGACCGAGACATCAAAAACAGAGACAAAGTTGAGTGGTGGCTGCCAGCTGCTGGGGGGTGGAGCAAATGGGGATTTAGTGTTTAATGGGGACAGAGTTTCAGTTTTGCAAGATGAAAACATTTCTGGAGATGGCTGCATAAATAGGAATATACTTACTTACCACCAATGAACTATACGTTTCAAAATGATTAGGACAATAAACGGTGCATTTTACCACAATAATAAAAACAAAACAGTAAAGGGAACAGGTGGGAGGAAAGGAGAAATCCCCTTTGCAACTCTAGCTAGCTCAATGCCCAGACCAATGCCAGCCTGAAACGTGAAAAGCTGCCCAAGAGGACACTGCCGTTGACTTCCATACTTCCCAGGCCAAAGTGATATTCTTCTGTCAGTATCCTGCTTGGACCCTCAGTGTTTGGGAACATTACGGAGGATCGGTCTCTGGCTGACAGCACATAAACAGGTTTCCTAGGACACCAAACTCTGGCTGCCCCACCAGGACATGGCTGGTGGGCACATTACCTGGATGGGTAGCCGGCTGCACTGATTCGGATGGTCTCCAACACCCCACACGCTCTGAGCTGCTGCACTGCTCTCTTTGGGTCAAAGCTGCAAAACAGGAAGACATTCCATAAATGGCCATGCTGGCAAAGAAATGAAACAGGAGAGAGGGTAAGATGACTTCTTCCTGCACCGGGAGACAGACCATCATGCACCTTAATCTCAAGGTCAGGGGCCAAGCACAGACTAAAAGACACTGACTAGCAGATGCATGAGTGATTTCAGTACCTAAGTTCTATGCAAGTTCTTGTTCTTACCTGGGATACATCTCTTCTTTGCATACCTGAATTCTGTCCACCCTCCAAGACCCATTCCTGCCTCCTCTCTAAAGCCTTCCCTTATCCATCCATGGGGGCACCTGTGTTCATTCAAAAGCCAAATCATAGACACTTGCCACCACAAGCAGTATTTGGCTCAGGAGTTAAAAGGGGAAGTTTCAGGCCAGGCAGACCTGGATGTGAATTGTGACATGGTCCCTGACCAGTTGCATGTGTAATTTGGGGAAAGCAACGTCACCTCAATATCTTCACCTATAAAATGGGGATAATAATAGTATCCCTTCTTCAGGGTTAGTGTGAAGATTAAACATAAAGGCCCATGAAAGCCGTTAGACCACCACCTGGCACAACTTTAGGACACAGGCATCGCTAGCTGCTCTCATGACAGCTGCCTCGTTATGAAAAAGAAATCTATATTCCCATCTGTCTTCAGAGATGCGAGCCACATCTTCAACAGCTCATATGCCTGTACAATGCTGTTTAACACTGAAAAACCAGTATTTATTCCAACACCTAAGTTGAGCAGGATGCAGAATCGGCAGTCAGACGTGGTCTGGGCGAAGAGTGTCCACACTGGAGGAGAAGTATATAGAAGCAGCATACAAAGCAGCATGTGATAACCATGGCAAAAGTGCTGGAAGAGTCCAGTGGGGAAGTGGTCAGCGTCAGCTGGGGTAATCAGGGCGTCTTCATGGGGGAAGTACTAAGCTGAACTGGAATTAATCCCCACTTGTAGTTTGCTAAGACCCTTGTCCTACTCTGTGAGGAGGGATGGGAAGTAAATGCTCCTTTCTTTCTGGCTGTTCCTCAGCTCAGCTAGAGCCAAGGGCCATGCGTCTTGCTCTCCTTCCACTCTGGGAAGTGGGCGGGCTGAGGCCCAGCTCCCGGGATCACACTGGCTTTAGCACACACCTTGGCCAAGCTGTTGGGCAACCTGTCTGCCCTGGCAGAGAAAGAGAAACAGGAAGCTTCTTCATCTCTAGGACCCCGGGGGACTTCCTCGTGCTACTCTTGTCTGCCACCTCCAGATAAGCCTGGGTGTTCTCTTCCCAGCAGCTTCTGGAGCTCTGCAGGATGGATCAGGGCTGGAATCCGCCACACCCAGATTCATAGCTCTCCACCAGAGACTTCTTCCCTCAGATCTATTTGTATGAACCGCTCAGGTCCTAGCGCTGGCTGGTCTCTTACACCAAGAACCCAGAAGTCTATTGAGGTAGGCGGCCTGGGTCAGCAGGCACCTTCCAAATGACTGAAGACCGTGAGCTGACCTGGAGTCCAGGAACTCTGTGTTCCAGGTCAGCCCTGGGGCTCGGTGTCTGGGAGTCACCCACAGCCTCCTCCTGCCTCCCCCCAAAATCTGCCCAAGTCCTGCCACTTTTGACAGCCAGCTCCTCCATCAAGTCTGCCTGATTCCTCCAGCCCCAAGGTGCCCCTGGCACTTGAGTATGTACCGGACAAGTGGGCATTCAAGTCTGCACAGTCCTGAACAACAAGACCGTTACTTTGCAGGAGTTAATTTCTTTTTTTTTTTTTTTAAAGTCGGCAAAAAGCTCCTCCGTGGAAGAGCTTATAGGATGAAAGAAAACAAAAGGAAACCTAAGTGTATCCCCTTTGTAGTTTGTCTCAGGTGTCACCAGGATGCACCACAGTTCCGGGACCCAAGAAAAACCTTAACCAACACGGGGTGGTAGTGAGGAGTCTAAGCAGCAACATGGGCTCTGCTGTTTACAGGTCTGCTTCTCTCGTCTGCCGGGTGGCCAGCTGGGCCGAGTTATGAAAGCACGGTGGATGGGCTTGAGCCTTGGGGAAGGTGTTCTGTGGCTGCAGACCTCTCCCTCTGCACCTGTGATCTCCAGGCCAGAGTCTGCTTCCCTCTGCGGTGTGTGGGGGGGACGGGCAGCACACGTAGCAAGCACTGGTGACCGCTCGTCCTTTGTGGCCACGGTGGGTAGACAAAGGTCTTCCCACTTCCCTCCGGAGCTGGCACCATTCTCTTCCCCGAGGGATGGGGGAAAAGAGCAAGGGCGAACCAGAAAACCTGGTACGGGCCGCCAACAGCTAGTGCCCCTCCAGGCAATACACAATCGCTCTGTAGCTTTGCCTCACTTCTCCAACAGAAGCGGAGGATACCTGTCCCACTGTCATTCACTGGTTTGTTGCAATGACTAAGCGACAGAAAAGAACCCTATTAAAAGGAAACAAGCAGACACTACACCAAAAAGATTCTGCCATCCTCTTTCCTTGTTCACATGCCCCAGCCTTCTGTATTTTATCTCATCTCTTCAAGAGTAAAGAATGCTCACTGTCAATGGCATCTCTTCACGAGCCTTGCTACCTGTGTTACGAGGTGACGAGGTGACAAGGTGACAGGGCGTGGAAATCAGCCCTCCCACCTAGTAAATTTTGGAGGACCACAGCGAGGACAAGAGACACTTAACTCCGGACTGCAAAATCACCAAAGAAATATAGGGTCAAACCTGCTGAAACGCAGGGTTATACTTTCTCCTCCCAATGAACGTGCAGGTTCAGCAGAACCGGAAGCTTAGAACCCAGCTCCCCCTCAGCAGTCATGCGCCACTACTGATTTTTGCACAGACCGCCAGCTCCCACCCATTCTTCAGGCTCTGCAGTGTGCTGAGTCATACCTGAGGACCCCGGGACACTCAGGAATGTCCACTGCTGAGAGCAGGGCACCGGCCCACAGGAAATTGGCCAGCTCCTCCCACCAGTGACCCCAGATTTATCACACTCCCCCGGGCCACCTCCTCCCTGGACACTTAACCACCTTCTCGCTTCTCTGCTCCTGTAGCACTTCCACACTGATCTGTGACTGGCAGTTCCTGAAGGATGAGGGGCAGGTCTGTCATTTCACTTGTCCTAGCCCAGTGTCCAGTGAATAGTGGGTATGATGAATGTTTTTTTTAATAAAGGAAACAGCAGAGGAAAAAAGACTTTTCTACAAGAGATGCTATCAAAAGCATTTACTCTAGGACAGCCGTCCTCCACTGGGTTGTCATTTTGTCCTCCAAGAAACACCTGGCAACATCTTAAAGCATTTTTAGTTGTCACAATGATGGGGATGCTACTAGCATACTACAATGCAGAAGACAGCCCCTCATAACAGGGCATTACCTGGCCCAAAATGTCAAGGGTCCTAAGGTTGAGAAAGCGGTTGGAGGAGATGGGAGGAGGCCTACAGAACTCTCCTTCTAGAATAATGTCAGTAACATCGTATACTTATTTTAGACCATGTTATAGATTCTACTCATCAAAATTTGTTATACTTCTCACAAATAATCTACATTATCTCCTTGAATTTTTTCATCAGGATGATCATTTTAAACCACAATTAGCAGGTGAAGAGGTGAGGCCAACAGTACAGGGCTAGCTCCTGGAGCAGCCAAACAATTCAGTTTGAATCTAGAAGACAAGTGCTCTGACCTGGTTCAGTATTCTCCCCACTTTATTACAAGGATGATTTCAGTCCTGAAGGCAACGGAAGGTCTTAGAAACATGGGCCATTAGGACTAGACACTTATTCTGAAAGCCCCCAGCATCTCCTCTCATCTGAGGGGAGGCCCAGCAAGAGAATACAGCACGTGGCAGGCACCAGGTTCTGAGGAACCCACGGCCCCAGGTCGCAGCTGGTTGAGGGCAGAGCTGGTACCCATCCCTCGACTCTCCTCTGGGGCCCTGCACACCGCTCCTGCCCTTCACACATAAAGTCTTTCACGCTTGCTGCCTTTCTAATAGCCTCTCTTCTCCTGGAGTCAGCTGGTACACAGATGCCACAGGGGGGGAATTCCTAACCACTTCCTGGAAATGTGGAGGAAAGGAAAAGAGTCAACAATCAGCATGCTTCAAGGAAGGCGGACTCAAAGCTGTCTTCCTGACCTTTTCCAGCACAAGGCCCATCTGAGTATAGGTCAAATTTTATGAAATAATAGGAGCAGCAGGGGGTAGTTCAGATACTCTGACAGAGTTGCCAAAATAATTATTTCACAGAAAGAAATTATGCTAGGTCCAAAAGAAAGTCAGAAAGCCGGGAATAAGGTGCTTCAAAAATTTAGAATTACACCTCTTCTGGCCAGAGGACGTAACTTGTGTGGTGGCTCATGGCAATGGAATGAGAGGCTGCAGAGGTAAGGGACAGACTGTTCTCAAGGCTTAGGGGAGTATTTCAGGCAAGAAACAGAGTCTAAAACAAGGTGACAGAAGAGAAAAGGGAGATCAACCTAAGAAAACTTCAAGTAGACTCTATGGGCCTTTGACAAGGTTTATGCTATCCAATATGGTAGCCATCAGCCAGCTACAGGCATGTGAATATAATTAAAATGACAGAATGCAGTTCCTCAGTCATACCAGCCACATTCCAAGCACAGAATTGCCACACGTGGTAGACCCGTGGCTACGATGTTGGACAATGCAGATTATAGAACAGCTTCATGTATCACAAAAAGTTCTATTGGACAGCACTGGTCCAGAAGGACTCTGAGGTTTGGTGGTGGGTAAATGAGCGGTCAGGAAATGATTATGCCATTTACTACAAAAGAGACCAAAGAGGGACCATTTCTGGAGGGGCAAGGAGTCCGACTTCAGACATGCTGGATGTGAGTCAATGAAAATGCAGCAGGCATTCAGAAATACTGGTCTGGAACCTGGCAAAAACCAGAGATGAACACAGACCCTGAACAGTCACTGCTATATAGATTCAGGTGGGGTCAACCATGTGGGCATGGGTAAAACTGGAAGACAATTTCCAAGATAGGGGTAGAAGTAGAATTTAGGCCAGAGAAGGCCAAGGAGTGGGGTGGAGGAAGGAGAGCGGGTATGAATAACTGGAATTTCAGTGGTAGAAGGCGTGTGAGAAATAGGACAATCTTCACGTCTCATCACTCGACATGTCACTCGAGGTCACGTCTCCCCAGTGGAGGAAGTCTCCTCTGACCACTCCAGCTATCTTCCCATCTCGGAACTGAACGTCTGCTATGACACACAGGCATTTCTGCATTTAATGACACACTTAAGTGGTTCTCTGATTCCTCAACACCACTGTAGACTCTGTGGGATTAGGGAAGCATACCCTCTCATCTTGTTGAAACCTTCTAGATAGCATACAGGTAGAACTTGGTAAATGTCTGTTGGACTGTATTCAGCATGGAAACCATCTGTGAAGTGTAAGAGCAACTATTCATCCTGCTGCAGAATCCCCCTCAAGGCTGCGCCCGTGTCAGTTCCACCTGAACTTGTAAGGAAGAAGAGGCCAGGCTTCACTGGCCTGACTCTAACCGAGAGGCAGCTGGCCCCGCCCACGCAGGCACTTACTGGAACGGGAGCTTCTCGTCATTTGGCTTGATGCAGCGCACGTAGTGTGGGGTCGTGGCATTCAGGGTCTCCATGAGCAGATGCAGGGAGGTACGGAACTGGGGAGACACAAGTCAGCGCCCGCTTATTTATCTAACATTTTGTAGATGTGTAATAAACGTAAAGAAACGCCCACAGACTGGTGGTGGTAGTTGTTGATACTGTTATGGTCACGGTTATTATTAATCAAGGATGAAAAATTCAGAGACTCAAGGTCAGATTCTAGCTGACACTCCTGCCTTGCTGTAGATCCAAACTTAAGCCCCTCCCACATTGACATGAGCGCTCTTCAACCCACACAGGGAGAGCCCACCTGCCAACGTGTGTAACTCAGCATGGTAGATCAAAGGAGATGAAAGGCGGGTCAATAATAGGAAATAGTACAGAAGTCACCATGGTGACTGGAGGCTGGTTATTCCTCAACTTGAGGCCCTGGAGCCCCAAGATCTGGTGCCTGGACATCCTGGAAGTTGTTACAGTAAAGTGAAATGCCCAGAACAGGCAAATCCCCTGCAACAGAAAGGTGAATGGCTGCTCGGGCTTGGCAGGAACTCCCTTCTTTTGGAATCACACTGGACATAAAATCCCACAAAGGCCCCACAGAAAGCGTCTCGGTTTTCTAGTCCCCAGGCTTCTTTAGTCCTCACTCCCCAACCTGCTGACTGTAGACCCTCTTCGCCTCTTCTACCAGGTGTGTGTGGTCCTCCCAGAGGTATTACATGCACTGCTGGGGCTATGCTCATTCCCTTCCTCTTCCCTGCTCACTGCCTCTAGAGGGGGCTTCCCAATTTCCTTCTGCAAAAGGCGCATACAGACTGAGCTGGGTAGCCGAAGATGCGGATGTTGAGGCCACTTCGGCCTCCCTCGGACTCTGCCGCCCTTCTTCATCTGCAGAGAGGCCGGCCATGCCACACGCACCCCGACCCACAGCTTCCTGCCACAGGCTGACCTGGTGGCCCACGGTTTTCTTGTGTTCCTTGTTGGAGACTTTCAGAGGGGGTCTGGCAGAGCGAATGTTGATCTTTGAGGATGAGCCCTTCCCAGGTGCAGTGGTGGCAGGAACAGAGTCTTTGTCATCATGAAACAAATCAGCCACTAGTGGGAACTAGAAACAAACACAGGAAGACCAATGAACACAAGATCTCTTGGACTTTATGGTACTTTGACTCTTTCAAAGTAGCTTTCCAGTGCATACCCAAGAGACCTGCTAACACACATGCACACAAACACTTGAACGTCCAAGTCCATAACCACATTATTCATTGCAGCCAGAGTGGGAACACTGTAAATATGGATCAGCTGATAAATGAACAGAACGTGGAAGTTCTGTACAATGGAATAATATCCGACAACATAAAGGAGGGAAATCCTCGTACACATGACACGGACAAGCCTTGAGAACATGCCAAGTGAAAGAAGCCAGACACAAAGACTTTTTAGTGCATGATTCCATTTACAAGAAATGTCCAGGGAATGGAAAGTAGTTTAGTGGTGGCCAGGGGCTGGGTGAGAAGAAAGAATTAGTAGTAACATGTACAGAGTGTCTGTGTGGACTAATGCAAATTTCCTAGAATTTAGAGTTTCCCCTCTCTGCTCCTCCTGAGAAGCCCATCTCTCAAGGTCCAGCCCTGCATCCTCCATGGACTTTCCCAGATCATTCCTTCGCATCTCCATCATGCACCCGGGTACCAGCTGAGGTCTGTGCTGGGCCCTGAGCCCCATGCTTGCTGAGCCCACAGCCTTTAAGCCTTATTCTTGACAGAGGAGGAGGACCAGGGAAAGGATTAAAGGAGAGAGTCCACGTAAGCATATAATACAGTGCCTAGCATATTATAAGCTCTCAAATGTCCAGTTTTATTATTTTGTTAGGGGGTATATACATGAAAAATCGGTCTACATGATCAAGTTCTGGGCTGAAGAGGAGAAATTTAGAACCACAGAACTTTAGAACTGGAGCATAAAGCGTAAAGATCACCACTTCAGGTGGCAGGTGAGGAAAGAGGAACTCAGAATCCTGCTTCCATCTCTGTTCATGCCAGCACCAGGCACAGTGGCCAATGTCGGCTCCCTGGAGCTGCTGTTTAGCAAGCGAACAAGGACTAGATCCCTGACCTCCAGATGCCCAGGTCAGAGTTTGTTTCAATACACAACGATATCCTGGTCATTTACACCAGCAATATCAAGGAAGTGGAAATAGACTGTATCTTAAGCCCATGTGTATCTCTGATGCACCTGTACAACATCCTCCTTATTGGAGGCTTCAGTGTGGGGATCTGGTGGAGCCTGTATTGGTATCTGAAGGTGATACATTCTCAGATGTGGCAGTGGGAGGAAGAATACCTAAATGGTAACTTATGAAGCATTCCTGCAGCTGACAACATCCCCTGAAATTCATAGCAGGAGTCTTAGGCTAAGGAAAGCTTAAGAGGCAACACCATCTCCATGGAAGTGTACAGGTTCAAAATGGCAGTGAGCGTCCACTTATGCTGACACCGTCCTGCATTTAACTTCCCAGACCTTTTACAAGTTGAGTCCCAGTTTAGTGGAGAATATACTGAGCACCACACCAACAGTTTGGGAAGTCCAAGAATCCTATAAAGGAGAGGTCCAAATTCCACAGTTTAATGGCATACTCCCATCAGTATTCCACATCAGTATTTCAGAGGTATTCTGAAAAGTTGTAGGGGCACCTGGGTGGCTCAGTCAGTTAAACGTCCGCCTTTGGCTCAGGTCATGATCTCACAGTTCATGAGTTCGAGCCCTGCATTGGGCTGGGCTCTGTGCTGACAGCTCAGAGCCTGGAGCCTGCTTCGGATTCTGTGTCTCCATCTCTCTCTGCCCCTCCCCTGCTCACACTCTTGTCTTTGCCTCAAAAATAAACAAAGGTTAAAAATTAAAAAAAAAAAAAAAAACAAAAAACTTGTAGAAGCTATATTAGGCAACACATATAGTTTTCTTCTATTACAGTCCAGGGTAGGTCCTTCAATTGGAAACACCACACAGTATGCAGTTGCGATCTGATTACAAACGTGGGAGGTCTCAACAGTAGCACGTTACAGTGTCTGGGCAGAAGAGAAAGATGGTGCTAGGGGCACAGTCAACCTGTCCCAGAAACGGTGTGAGATCCAGGTGACTTTGTTCACTCAGAGGTGGCTTCTGCAACCTTATCAGGTAGCATGCTTGGGTTGCAGGGTGATGCACCTAGAGCTGGGGGTACAAAATACACACGGACACCCATAGGACCACTGGCAATCACTTCAGGCATTTTCCATGAGAAACTAGGGGGTGCAGGTGTGTTGCTCACCGAGAATCCCTCAGCAGTTTGAGGACCTCTGCTATGCTCTGCCCGTCAAGGGAACTTCTAGCAATTCCATAGGTCAAACACCTTACCTTCACTGAGCCTGAAGCCCAGCCCTGGGCAGAGATACTTCACAGTCGCAGAGAAAGCATGACAACGGCTAATGCTGGAAACCAGCATCAAATGCCAGTTGAAGTTATAAGTGTATCTTCTGTATGAAGATTTTAAACTAAAACAAAGGAAACAAATCACTTCCCCCTACATAAACTTACTCCTAGGTATTATCAGTTAAACAGGTTTTAAGAATTCCATATTAGAGTCGAAAGTAATGGCATACCGCAGGTCAGAAGTTGGTTTTATACTACACATTAGCTAACCATATGGGTTACAAACAAAGCAGTTAAACTGTGTGCACGCACGTGCATGTGCTGGAGGAAACACATGTGTTCTATTAAGTTCTGTTCTCCCTTCGCACTTTTCATTTTTCACCAGCATTGCATCAGAAGCTCCTGACTTCCACCTTTTACTGCAGCTATCTACCTGCAAATAAAGGTTGTGCTTCTTTAACTCTGTGGTCTGGGTTTGAAGCACAGTCTAAAAGCACCAACCAATGACCTTAAGGCCAACTATCATCTCAGATAAGCAGCTCAAGTCCATCCTCACTACTGGCTCTTCTGTGGCTGAAACTGGCCGGTGACACCATGATAGCACTAGGGGAAGCTACATAGTCCTGAGCAAAGGACTCCCTGAATCCCCACCATAGGGCCTCGTCATCAGCCAGATGGCTCGGGAGGTCACCCCAATGAAATCATTAAGGATGTCTCCCGGTTTCAGGTGCCAACAGGTGACAATTCAGTTCCTATGCTCAGCATTTTTGAAATAGATCAACTTCCTCTTCATACAGGGTATTTCAAAATCATATATGTTGCCTTTTTATAGGGGAAGGTACTCAGGCTGTCAGAGGAATAAAGACAACTCAGGATTTAAAAAATCTGTGGCTAAAAATGTGCAGGTGCCATCATAAAGATGATACATTTATTAACTCATCATTTCCATGTGCTTTCAAAGAAGAGAAAATAAATATTAGGTCCCTGAATATCAAGAAAATAGATGGATGGGGTGCCTGGGTGGCTCGGTTGGTTAAGCATCCAATTCAGCTCATATCATGATCTCACAGTTTGTGGGTTCGAGCCCCGCATGGGGCTGTGTGGACAGCTCAGAGCCTGCAGCCTGCTTCGGATTCTATGTCTCCCTCTCTCTGCCCCCTCTCCATTCGTGCTCTCTCAAAAGTAAACAAACATTAAAAAAATTAAAAAAAAAAAACTAGATTGACTGGTTCGTTCTTTCACTTACCAATACTTAACTGACCACCAAATATGCAACAAATAAATACTGTGCTTGGGGCTGGGAACACAAAAATGAAGAAAAACAGAGCCTCTTATGGATCATGGAGTTTATGATCTAGCATAGAAGGTGAACTCTAATCAATTAACCCCACAATTAAAAGCTTAATGACAAGATGATGAGCATCCCAAAGGAAATAAACAACAGAAACACATGACTGAATCACGGCCCCAGAGCAGAAATTAGGAAAGACTTCTCTTATGAAGGGAAGTTTGAGGTAGTGGGTTATTCAGAGGGTAGGAAAGCATGTTAGGAAGTTTCTACATATCTGGGGGAACTCATATAAAGCCAGTACAGCTATCGGATACACTGTGAAGCGGGGCAGGGTGGGAAGCAAGGAAAACCAGCTCATACAAAATCCTTGAACATTTTGGTCTTTATCCTGAAAGCAATGTGAAGCCATTAAAGATTTTTTTTTTTTTTTTTAAATAAGAGCAGCTAACATTTACTGAGCACTTAGAAGGTGCAAAGCATATATGAAAATTCACTTCAGTCTCCCAATAACCACTTGGTTATTACAACCCATCTTACAGATGGGGAAACAGAGCCTCAGAGTACAAGATCACAGAGCTAGTCAGTGGCAAAGCCAGGATCTGCATCCAGACAGCCTGGCTCCAGAGCCCATAGAACAGAGGGTAGCAATGACCAGTGATCTTTTGGGAAAGCTCTCTCTGGCTGCAGTGTAACAAAGAGGCTGAAGTCCACTGCAAACAAGGCACTACAGTAGAGCAGTTAAGAGACAGAAAAGTCAATAGCTCAGCAGGTATCTGGGAAGTGAGGTGCTATAGAATGGGCACTGAGCTAGGGTCAGGAGACACTTTAGTTTTTTTGTTTTTGTTTTGTTTT